GGGGGGGGGGGGGGGGGGGGGGGGGGGGGGGGGGAGAAAAGGGGAGGGGGTGAATTTGAAATCTTTAGCTAGCACATGCACATTGAATATCCCTGCAAAGTTTCAACCCCTTACCTTGCATGGTTCCCGTGATCGCTTTCCCGCCAAAAAATTTGCATATATTTTTAAAGCGTCCGTACGCGGCATCCAGACGTCCGTGAGGGATGAAATTAAAACGGGAAGGTCGCACATGGTATGGCCACATACGCCCAAAGTTTCAGCCTTCTATCTCTACTCGTTCCCGAGTTATTAATTTTCCCGCCAAAACTTTCACTCTCTCTTACGCGGGGTCAAGACGTGCGTGAGGGTTGGTACCGTGGTTCAGGGGTGGCGCTTAGCTAGGGTATCCATTAGCAAAATCTTGGCGCTGGAAATTGATTGATTGCCGAGTTGAAATACCCGGACAGGCGAACACACACAGACAGGGTCGTTGCAATATGCGCTTTTGCAACTTGCATATAGGCAAAAACGCAAAGAAACGGTTGAGCGTCATATAGGGTGGGAACATGTTCCCAAAATTTCAGCCTCCCAGTTTTTCTCGTTGCTGAGTTGAAAGTGGGTCACTCTCTTTCGAACACGCACACACGGACGACCTCTCGATAATAAACGTTTTTGCTCACTGTAGTACTGCAGAGCAAAAAATATATTAGAAATGGGGAAAAGCAGATTAAAAATTCAAACTTTGAAGAGGAATTACCTTTTCGTCTTCCTCCTTACTTTCTGCTTCCTTTCCAGATTCTCCTTCTTCCTCTTCTTCTTCCTCACCCCCGTCGTCTTCCTCTCCTTCTTCCTCCTGTTCCCTGTCGCTCGTTTTCTGTTTTTCTGCCTTACCCTCCTCCTTTTTTCGTCCCCCCTTCTCCACTTTTTCCTCTTCTTTCCTTTCCCGTTCTCTTTCTTTCTCTTTCTTACGATTCTTATCTAAATCATAATTACGGTACTGACATTTATTGTTTCAAAAAGCACTAACAGCATAGGTATAAGTAAAAGTGTAACCTGCTGTCTTTTGTTTTTTCCTGGACTGCTGCTCCTCCTCTGCCTCCTCTTCCACCTCCTCCTCTTCCTCTTCTTCGCCTTCCTCTTCATAGTCCGCTTCGGTTTTTGGGGGCGGCTTTCTGAAACAAATTCATTAGTGCGTTTTTTGTTTTCAGGTAAAAGAATCTCCTAAAAAATGAATCATTGCAAAAGTGGCATTTTGCGTGAGAACGTGCATGATAAAAAGTGAAACTATAAACAAGTTTCTGAATAATAACATTACTTGACTGTTTTCCTGTACTTCCATTCTTTGCCCCTTCTTCTTGGAGAAACAGATTCCTGGTTTGCTCGAGCTCGTGCTATTGCACGCTTGTCGTTGGTCTAAAGAGACCAGTAATCATTAATAGCTAAAAACTTTGTAAAAGCATTCTCAAAGCCGACCAGGATGTTTTGGTGAATTGTTAAATGGATCGGAGATTTACGATACCGTAGTGGGGTTTCGTATTTGTATTTTTTCTAGTAAACAATTCAAACTATACC